GGAGATTCGGAAAACAACTGAGGGGCATTGTTGGTAAGGGATTAGAAAGCGGTCTTTAAGAATTGGATTTAAACAGGAGTCCTGGCGTCGTTCGGCCTTCAGTGATTTCTGCAAAGCCATTTGACTGTGCCCACAGTGCTTAATTTCTCCAGGCCACGATGCCCTCATCTATAAGGTATGAGGGTCAGTCTGTTTTCCCTAAATGCCTAGTAACACTTCTGTGAGAATCAAAATAAAAAGGCAATTTATGTAAAAATGCTTTGTAAACTCTAATAGCATAAGGCGTAGTCCAGTGCTCACAGATTTTATTATACATAAGAATCACCATGGGGAGAGTCTAATTCAGCAACCGAGAATTCTAGTTCTGCATTTTGAGTGAGTCTCCAGGTGATTCTAGTGTGAGTGGCCTGCACACTTCACTTGGAGAAATACTGGTAGTCACTCTTAGGTCTAGACCTTAAGCTATAGTTTAAATACTGTGGATTTTGAAACAGTATATCTGTGTGCACTGGTGAGAACCAAAAAAAGTTGTTTCTGAGATCAGTTCATTAAGTCAGAGAAGACCTTACTGCCTAGCTGGTTTTGAAGCCGGACTTTACCATTTGCCAGTTGTGTGATCTGGGATTTCTCGGACCCTCAGATTCTTCATTGGTAAAAGGAAATTAATAACATCCATCTGGTAGTCATTGTATTTATTAGAGATAACATTTCTAGAACACCTCGTACAGTGCCCAGCTATGGCCTTCGATAAACAAGCAGAATTTCTATTGCCCAGATTTGAGTCTGGCTACTTCAGAGGGATGCTTGTCCAAAAGAAATGATTTAAGGCAATTTCTAATCACCTTTTTAAAAATTAGTTCATTGATGTCTGTTTTCCTTAAGGGAGGTTGTTTGCCAGGTATCCGAGCAAAAAAATGTCCTAGGATGATGCTTAATAAGGCATTTGGGTAATACATAAGGGAGCCCCATTTTCAATGTGATCCTGGCTGTTGGTAAAAAGGAGTGACCAGTGCAGGTACCATTTCCATCTGTAAAGCAGGAGGAACAGGCGGTGCTTTCTGCTTGTGACAGCTTCCTGGCCTTGCCCCGTTTCCTTCCTTAACGAGCTCCTCAGACATGCAATGTTTCACTGTCAAGCCAGTGATGAGCCTGCCTCCCAGCTACAAGGATAAACCAGTTCCAGAGCAGATCATAAAGTAAGTGGATTTTGTTGTTTGTTTTTCTAGAACATTTGTCTCTCTCACACACTTGATCTAAAAGTACATCAAAGCCAGTCTTCAGTTCATTATGGTTTGGAAGACCTTCTGTTGTCTCCATCCATTCAGGCTCCTATAACAGAATACCATAGACTGGGTGGCTGATAAACAATGGGAATTTATTTCTCACAGTTCTGGAGGCTGGGGAGCCCAAGATCAAGGTGCCGACAGATTCGGTGTCTGGTGAGGCTCTGCTTCTTGGTTCATAGATTGCTGTCTTCTCACTGTGTCTTTACATGATAGAAGGGTCGAGGGAGCTCTTTGGGACCTCTTTTATAAAGTCACTAAACCCATTCATGAGGGCTCCAGTATCATGTCCTAATCCCCTTTCAAAGGGCCCACCTCCTAATACCATCACATTGGGCATTAGGATTTCAGCCTAGGAATTTTTTTGGGGAGTAGGGGTGGGATACAAACATTTAGCCCATAGCAACTGTCCATCGCATTTTCAATATAAGATAAGAGCTTGGTAACGCAAAGGAATTTGGGAGTTTTGGTTTTTTAAACAGAGGGGAAGAAATTGGGATATTCAGCCTTAGGTTTTGGACCCCATAGCTCTTATTTCCACTCAGGATTCACAGTCAGTAGTGGCTGTGACCTCACTTTGCCTGGTAAGTTGCCCAGTGATTGCAGACCTAATCCCTTCTCCTGAGAAGCTAAAATGCTCGTAGAACTGTTATAAAACTATACATATGAGGTTATAAGCATGGACATAAACACATACACCATTTTAATTCATGAGCTGTGGAATAGATTCATAGATAATAAAATGGAGATGTGCAGTAAAATCACATTGTGCACCAACGCCAGCCTTCATTGTAGAGACTGTCAGTTATGAGATCGCGGAGTGGATAAGACTCAGTCTCTGTAAGATGTGTCCCAGGTTCCGTTGCAGTCAGATTTTGTGAGAGAGAAACGACAGCATTGCAGCTGTGTGTCTTTCCCCAGCTATTATAGAGCCAACGAAGTGCAGCAGTTCCAGTATTCCCGCCCATTCCGGAAAGGAGAAAAGGATCTTGACAATGAATTTGCTGTGAGTTCATCCCTTTGGCCCTCTAATAAAAAAATTTAAAAAAAAAAGGTAAACTTGATGTCCAAAATGGCGGCTGTCCACCTCACCAGCACGTACAGCAGAAATGATGGAAGGATGGAGGTTTCACGTGCTTATTACCAAGACAGCAGGCTGTCATCTCAGTTGAAAACCCTAGACCAGGAGTCCAGAAACTGCTCTCCTCCTGGGCCTGCCTGTACTATGACTTTGAGCAAGTCGCACCCCTCTGGACCTCAAATTGCCCATCTACAGGGTGAGAGGGCCCGAGGAGATGATCCCTTTCAACATTTTAACATCCAGAATCCTTACATTTTTGGTGAAAATATGGCCTGTTCTCTAGGGAGGCATTTAACTGAGCCAGGGCATTTTGCTGTTCTACAAGCCTGGGAACTAACCAGCATATTCTATTTTCCTTCCTTCCACCAGACCATGTGGATTGAAAGGACCACATATACGACCGCGTATACCTTTCCCGGGATTCTCAAGTGGTTTGAAGTCAAACAGATATCAACAGTGAGTCATTTGAAATTGGAACGCAGAAAAATCTTTCTGTCTCCACATATAATACGAGCCTTTGTTAAATACCCCCTCCAGTCCTCACTAGCTGTCTTCTGGCCAGCTTCGTTTTCCAAAAGAGAAATAAAAGACATGCTTGTCTAATAGAACTCCTTTGTAAAACTGATGTTACAACACCAACCCTAAAGGTTACTCACAGTGAATGACTCTTTTATGACCAAAGGAGTGTTGTCTCTTCAATGATCCTGCCAGCACCCAAAAACATTTTTGGAATGCCTCCTTTGAGTTTCCTGTCAATCACATTTTTCTCTCTCAGAACCTCCTTTTATTCTCCGCCGATCCTAGACTTCCTTCTTCATCGCTGCCCCAAATGGCCTGCTTTATGTTTTTAATATTTACTAAATCTGTTTTCTTTTTTTCTAGCGCCCCATGTTATTATACCGTATTTTTAGTCCCTCATTCATCTCTAGGTTGAAGCTATTGAAAAAGCCCTGTCATTGGCCTGCCTACCTCAGCTTTCTGAGCTCCATTTTCCTCAGTGCCTCAGAGTGTACATTTCATAGTGAAAACCTGACCATATCATTCTCATGCTTAAAAACGCTTTCCATGATGGCTCCCTAGTGCCTAGAGTGTAAAGTTTATACTCCGTCTCATTTTAATACAGGGCTGGTGAGACTCAGCTCGTCTACCTCATCGCCTATGGAATCTACTGGAACTAAACTGCACAGTCCGTGCTGTTTCAGCTCTCTGTGACACTGGGTCATTTTCTCTGCCTGAAATACCCTGTCACCACTTCTCAGCCTAACTCACTCCTATCCAGATTCAGTGTAGGCTCCAGCTTCTCCATCTCTGAAACTCCTAGGCTGGCTTAGATGCCCTTTCTCTGTGCCCATCGCATCCTGTACTTATTTCTAATGAGTTACCTACCATGTTCCATGTCTCGAGACCCCGCTGAAACCACAGGGTCCTCCCAGCCATGAAGTATATCTTAATCACTTTTGTAACTGTCGTGCACAGCACAGCACTTGGCGTAAAATAAGCTCTCAAGAAGTAAGCCCTGAACAGATCTGAAGTTTGGCATGTCCCATACCACCAGTGGTCAATTGTGGTTCATCAAGTATGAATATGATTTTTGGACAGAGACTTTTGAATGAAGTCTGGAGTAGGAGGTCACGCTGGCTGATAATGGGTACAAGGAAGGAGACAATTTTTCTTGAAACCTGGTTTTGAAGACATGTCCACAGGAGGAGCTCTCTCTGAATCTATATTGCATCTTGTTTCATTTTCATCTAAAATCGAACCTAAATATTCTAATACATCCTCTTCTTTCTGATTTCTGTTAACCACAGAACCCATGCTAAGTTGTGTTGTATATGGTCTGAGTGTATGGTTTCCAAAATCACTTACCTCTTCTCATAGGAGATGCAGCAAACCTCTCGCCAGTGAACATTTTTGTGGTGCAGCAGTGTCTTGGATCAGATATCCTCTTACTCTGTTGTCACTGATCTCAAAAATGTCTGAGGAAGCTTTGCCTAGAAAACAGTCATTATTATAGCTCCAGTATTTTCTTCTCACAACTTCTGTAGACACGTTGCGCCAGGAAGTAATCATTACTGTAATTCTAATTTTTAAGTCATCCTTGTACTTTCTAAGGAGATTTTTAAGAGCTTATTTTGTAACTTACCAAGGCCATTTCAAATAAATAGAGTATCCTAAGAAACATAACCATGACAAGTGAAACCTCACTTTTCTGTGGTTGGTGGGAATTTTATGCCTTTTGAGAGGAATACATGGGCTTTTATCAGGCTTTGCTGTGGAGCTCACCATGTGCGCTTCCTCTGCCGTGTTCTCTGTCACAGGAAGAAATCAGCCCTCTGGAGAACGCCATCGAAACCATGGAACTCACCAATGAGAGGATCGGCAACTGCGTTCAGCAGCATACCTGGGACCGGTCGCTCTCTGTGCATCCTCTCTCCATGCTGCTCAATGGCATCGTGGACCCGGCCGTCATGGGGGGATACTCCAACTACGAAAAGGTGGGCTGGGTCCCCGGGACCGCATGTGACTCTGAGGTCTGAGTCCCTCTGTGCCTCCCTCTGTGGCGTTGTGCAGCCAGTGGATTAGTTTCTTCCCACCTCTCTGAGAGATTTTCCACTCCCTTTTTTATGAATGGGCAGATGAAATTAATGAAAAGCTTGTCCCCAGCACCACACCTCCTAGAGATGCTCGGCAACCAGCCAGGGTTAAGCCACTGCCTGGTAAAGAGCCCCTGAAAGATCAGCCCAATATACCATAGCTGGTTGATTCGCCTGCTGTTCCTCTCCCACTCCCCAGCTCCCCTGGGAGGTAGAGAGCAAATGGGTGGGTTCCACCACTGAGGTCGCCCTGGAAGTGAAGCAGCATGTGTGGGAAACACAGAGCCACACTCTGTTGAAAATTAGCCATTAGGAATCTGCACCCGGACTTGGTGGGCCAGAGGTTGTTGTGGACCAATGCTCACCCTGGCTCTACAATTAAATGATGTCAAGTTTTTCTTGAAAAACAGGAAACGGGTGCTTACCAACTTGTGAGTGCTTTTCATAGGGTTTGCATGTAGCCCCATTTAAAATGAAGGTGACGCATTTAGTAAGTAAAGTTCAGTTACGTATAATTAATAGAGATAGGACTTTTTAATTGTTAGATACGTTTTCAGTGGTTAAATAATGTTGGAGTCCTCCTCTTGAATATAAATAGACGTTTGGCTAGTGTACCCCTGTGGAGTAGCATGGAGAATGGGTGGAAAGAAAAGGAGATGGATAGGAAGTGCAAGCAGACAATAAGTGGACTCATTCTCTTATTTCTACACAGTGGCCTGGGAAGACCAGGGACGTTACTATCAGTCACTCCTATGACCCAATCTTTGCTTCCCCTGCTGTGTGCCCTTGGGCTAGACATTTAACCTCTCTGAGCTCCAGGTTTCTTATCTGAAAGAAGTAAGGAAAATACCTAACTCATAGGAATGACCTGCGGCTTAAGGGAGACATCCTTGTATGATGTATAAAAAACATCACACAATGCTTGCCATGTAGTTCAGACTTGATCGGTGTCAACTTTCTTCCTACCTCCTGTCTTCTTGGAAGGAATGTGTGATTTGAACGTTTTTTCTGAGCCGTGTCACAGCGCTGTGTACCAGTGCTACAGTAACCTTCTTGGGGAAGGACTTCACACCAGAGATAAATTCTAGTTTGCTCATGTTGGGTTTCAGTCATAATTTCCAGTGTTACAGTGGAATTCAATACAAAACTCAGATCCAAAACATGATACTGTCTTTTACTATTATAATGATTTCAGTGTCTATTTTTTCCCCATAAGCTATCTGATACTAACTTTAATATGTTTTTCCAAGTATTAATTTTTTTCAGAATGCCCCTAAACTCAGATTCATATATGCCAATATCTGTGGATATTATATAACTTCGTATGAATTTTTTTCCATTGTGACCATCTTCTAATTAAAATGAAAAAAAAAAGGAAATATATATAAACAAATATATTTCAGGAACTTTGGCTTGAAATATGATGTTATACTTTGAATGACTATGTCTGACTTTGTACATTTCTAAACACAAGAAAAAGGGGAAATGCAGTGATTACCATGACCTATTGCGATCAGTTGGGGAGCTCCTCATTACCTGCCTGATACAGGTGACCAATTTTAAGGAAGCCCCTTCATCATTGCCTGAATGATAAGAACACAGGAGCTGTTGGCTGTAATTCATCAGCCCTTTCTATTGTGAGGCAGGACTCTGCAACAGAAATTGATTTCAGGGCACTCTGATGTTTCCTGATTCAACTGCATTTTATCATGTATCAAAAAGCCTTTTTAACTTACAAAAATTGAAACTGCTGCTTGTCCTTGAAAGGTAAAGGTAGATGAAGGTTTAAGCCAATACTGCTTTTTCATGTATATTAACAGTCCTTCTCAACACGCATCTGGCTAAAGTGAGCTGCTTGGAAAATGTCCCATCCTGCTTCCTTTTGGTGATAACTTGGCCTCCACCTATTTACATTCTCAGATGTATTTGTCAGGGCTGCCTTAACAAAGTCCCACCAACAGGGTGGCTTAAAACAAGGGGAAGGTATTGGCTCCCAGTTCTGGAGTCCAGCGGTCTGAGATCACAGTGTCAGCAGGGTTGATTCCCTCTGAGGGCTGTGAGGAAGAAACCGCCCCCTGCCTCTCTCCTCGCTTCTGGTGGGTTGCTGGCCATCTGCGGCCTTCCTTGGCTTGTAGACGACTGTCTTCTTGTGTGTCTTCCCAAGGTGTTCTTCCTGCGTCGTGTGTGTGTCTGTCTCCACAGGTCCCCGTTTTATAAGGACACTGGTGAGATTAGATTAGGGGTTCATCCCACTTCCGCGTGGCCTCATCTTAACTGATTACATCTGTACCAGCTCTGTTTCCAGCTAAGATCCCATCCTGAGGCGCCGGGGTTTAGGACTTCCACACATGAATTTACAGGGGACGATACAGTTCAACCCGTAATGTCTTTGCACAAGGCAGACAGTTTGCATATATTCTGGTCTCCACCCAAAATGGCCCAATCACTTTTATAACTGTTGTTATATCCTGTAGTTTCAGGAACTCTTGGCTTTCGTATAACGGGGTGGCTTTCCTAGTAGTGGAGTATAAGAGAGAGGGGAAACTTTGAAGACTGGTCATTGAAAGCACTCTCAGAAATGAAGGTTAAGGTACAGGGAGAAAATACATAACTCCCACTGAGAACTCTGATTGGAAATGTTCACTACAGACTTCTGTTTTCTTTCCTAATGAATCCTGACTTTTAAAATGATTTCCCAAGGGACACCTATTTATAGTGTGAGTTTGGGTTTTATTTCCCTATTATAGGGCCTCAACCATGGGGACCATGAATGTTTATTGATGATGTTATGGGTGACACGGTCTTGACATTTTATGAAATGCAGTTTTATTTCATATTTTCAAATCATTTTCACATCTGTATCTCAGGTTGTCTTCAGAATGCCTTTTGCATGGATGATTAGTAAAAAAGGACAGATATTAATCTTCATTTAATATGGGAAAAAATTGTGATACAGCTTGTGTCACGTGATAGAGTCGAAAAACCCTTATCAGCCCCATCTCCAGTCTATTAAATTTTTGCTCTTTCCTTTATAGTATCTCCATACTTAATCTAATGACTATCCTTTAGATATTGTCATTTGGTCTTTTCTTAGTTCTTTGGGGAAGTTATTTTAATGAATGACATTCTGCTCTGCTGCTGATGATTATTTGGTGTGTGTGAGAGAGAGAGAGAGATTGTTGAAGAGAGAGAGATTGTTGAGAATATACTCTTGCTAGGAACTTCATGATTCTCGAAAGACCACAAAATAGTGCATACCTTCTTGAATTGTTCACTACAGTGTAAGAACTATCCCAGGAAAGGATTGACTATTTCCTTAGTTGTTACTGGTGTGTCAGCTAGAACAGAAGACATTTTCCACCCTCCCAGGCTTCCCTCCCCTTCTTTTAGGATCAGATGCACAGACAGGTATGTGTTCTAACTAACGTTCACATATGCTCTGTTTTCAGGCTTTTTTTACAGAGAAGTATTTGCAGGAACATCCCGAAGACCAGGAGAAGATTGAGATGCTAAAGCGACTGATAGCGTTACAGGTATGGCTCTCGGGAGGTGTGTGCCCATACAGCTGCCACACTGCGCTGCATGGGCAGCCACAGTGCATGGGTCCAGGATACTCTCTGTGCCTTAAATCTACAAGCCCACTTTTAGTGTTACTTGTCTTTCTTTTTTTTAACCCTTGGAATCGCAACCTGTGTGTGTGTTGGGCAAAGCAGCCTAGAAACCGCATTCCATTAGACTGCACGGTGATGAGAGGGGCCTTCCTAGAGGCGAGATTCAAGTCCCCCCACTTGGTCTCCTGGCCCGTGTTTCAGCTGAGAGGTGTTAGCCTCACTAGTTTCTCTCTCTCACTGGTTCAATGAACAGTGGGACAAAATACAGCCCTCTAGTTCAGTCTGAGGCTTAAACCTATCTGTCGCTCATCCACAGAAATGCCTCCGGGCTCAGGTGGGTTTGCCTCCTCCAGCAGCTCTTCCCAATTTGGGACCTGCTTGTGTCCTAGGTGTGTGTGATTTCTCTGCATTGTTGACCCAAGGGTTCCAGCTCCCAAGCCCTACACTGACAAGTAGCGTTCTCATTTGATATGTGCTGTGTCTACCTGTTTACCTGCCCATCCCCACCCCGCATTCTTCCCCAACCTCCAAATCCGAATGACCCCTCCTCTTAAACCGCATTCCATGCTTCCCATGCCCTTTTATCCAGATGCCGCTGCTGACGGAGGGAATCCGCCTCCATGGGGAGAAGCTGACCGAGCAGCTCAAGCCGTTGCACGACCGCTTGTCCTCTTGCTTCCAGGAACTCAAGGAGAAAGTGGAAAAGCTCTATGGGGTTATAACACTGGTAGGTTTTGTCTTAATAGCCTATAAGCTTTTTCTAGTCTCTGCTACCTTTTATGACATTGACCAGTTTTTCAATTGCCAAACGAGTCAAAATAGCATCAATTTGGCATGAAAATACCTGGGGCTGGTCAGAGACGTCATGGTCTGCTTTTGATGACCTTCAACCGTCGTTGTGCTAGATAAGGATTCTCTAACTTGAATGACCTCCCAGAACTACCTAGAAGGCATGTGAAAACCCACATTGCTGGGCCACCACCCCAGGGTTCCTGATTCAATAGGTCTGGGGTGGGGCCCGAGAATCTGCATTTCTGACATGCTCCCAGGTGACAGTGCTACTGCTGGTCCAGGGCCAACACTAACTTCTTTATTTTGACGAAGAGTTTACACTTTTCACACCTTTGAAGGGGAAAAAGAATTGTGCGGTACATTTTATAACGCATGGAGCTGATTTCATAGTTTTTGGCAGTTCTAACACATTTCTCACAACTATAATTTTCTTTTTTTCTCCTGAGAAGTTGTGTGGAGGGGCGTGTGGTTTCAGCTTTATTTATCTGCTCTTTTTGACTTGGATTCACCCTGCTGTCTTTATTCTTGGAACCCTGGGATTTCAGATTCTCTTTCCTCAAGTCAAAGCTCTATATTTCTTTTCATTCACTCCTCCCCCTTATTCCCATACCTCCATCTCCACTACATTTGTCTCCAGAGTACCTTTTTGATCATCTCTTTCAGTCATCCAAGTATTCAGTCATGCATTCCTAAGAATTTGCCTCCTAACCTACTGCCAGTTAAGAGTTTTCTTTTTTTTTTTTTTTTTTTGCTGAGCCATCCTGCCACCTGTTGGCAGCTCAGCGGCTGCTCAGCTTGGGGCGGGAATCGAACCGCTGTTACTCAGAGCTCACACTCTTGAGGGAGCTCTTAACCAACTGAGCCACTCGGCCGGCCCTAAGAGTTTTCTTATAGGAACATTTGTCATTTACACAAGTTCCTAGATGGCAGAGAATGTGCCTTTCACCTCATGAGTTGAGTTTTTACTAGACCCAGGTCAACATTAGCATGTAAATTTGATATGGTGGCACATGGGGATAATTGATCCTATTGGAGACATTGCTCATGAAAGTAGATCAATGTTACTTTACTTCCTAAAAGTCACCAGGTTGAGTGTCAGGTCTACAGTTTCAATCTAAAACTTTTCTATTCAGCCAATGTTCCATTTTTTAAATGCCAAAAAAAAGCTAAGCTGGAGAAGCACACAGTTTTGCTATTTTATTAGTGCGTAATGAACATATTGTTTTTTTTCCCTCTGTCTCTCATGTGGCTGGCAGCAAATTATGCTGAATTTTTCTTTAGTCTTAGAAGCAAGGTAGGTTTAACCTGAGTTGTGTCTATTACTAAGAATACAAGTACTTGCAATATTTGAAAACTTGAGGTAGCACAGGCACCAACCAGTCAGGATGGGGTGCCGGCCAATACAAATGGGCACGAGCCACAAATGAGCAGGGGGTCTGCACCCGTTCATGTGGGCTGAATCCCAGGCCAGCTAACCATGAGGGGTCTTGTGTTCTTCAGCCATCCAACTTGACTGAGAGGAAGAAAAGCCGCACGGGGTCCATTGTGCTACCCTACATCATGTCATCTACGCTGCGGAGACTGTCCGTCACCTCGGTGACATCCTCTGTGGTTTCCTCCTCTTCTAACTCATCTGACAATGCCCCTTCCAGACCAGCATCTGATGGGTAAGGGTTTGATCTATAATTGCCAGGAGGGGTGGGGTAACTCCTTAGTAATGTTTGCTTTTGGTCACCAAAGTGAGACTTGGTCAACATAGATACATCATCCTCATAAGGGAAATAATTCAGAGTTCAGGGGTTATTAGCCTTTGGGTCATTCTCATTGTCTCTTTCATGAGGAATATCATTATTCACATAATGATAACAGTTACGAAAAATGGAAAGAAAAATCATCCATAATCCTATCACACCCTGTCACCCACCTGATCATGTCCTGATTTATTTTTTATCATTTTTTTGTTAGGCTCAGATATACAAACCAACAATGATTAAACATTGACACCCCTCACAAAGTGATAACCCCAACAAGTCTACTACCCATCTGACACTGAACATAGTGATTACAATACCATTGACTGTACTCCTTGTTTAAGCTATGTCATTATATCTAAACAAATAATCATAACAGTTTATTTTAAATTTAATATAAAACATTTAGCTTGTATTAATTTAAATGCATTTTTATTATTAAGAATTGTAGCAAACGTATTTGTACATGGACATATAGCTTTGATTATTTAGGATGCATTCTCAGATTACTTCTCGACCTTTTGGTGAAGATCAAGTGTAGGATGGATTTCCAAAAGCGTATATTACCTAGCCAGTGGATGAGATTTTTTTGCAGTTGTTGATATATCAAATACTAATATGTAATGCCATATGAAATATATGAGTAGTTATATAATTTTCATCACATATTCACCCATATTGGGTATTTGTACTATTTTTAAACCTTTTGAATTCTTAAATATTAAATAATGCCTGACTCATTTGTTCATTTTTTTTCCTCTTCTATGGATTTTTCATATCATACAGGGTTACCTTTGTGGAAAGCATAGAAGTTCTGTTCTGTTCAGTAACTCCTTTTTTAAATAAACTCTGTCCCAGTCAAAAAAGAAAAGTTTTGAAGTAGCTGTTGAAAATCAGACACTGCAATGCTGATGCCATAGGGCCCTAGACAGACAGGAGGTGACTGGAGTCTTCTTTAGGTCATGACCCCAGGCAAGGGAGCTGAGTGCTCTTGCCCAGATTTCCCCAGTAGGTAAAAAGAAGTCATTGGTAATATTTTCTAACATTTATTCAGGATGTTTCTTTAAAGAAGCTCAAACTCTTTCACACCTGATAATCCTGCATCTCCTATGACCAGTGTTTTGTCACAATATTCATTAAAACTTTCATGGTGATGATTGGGCATGCCATCCTGTTTGGCAAATGGAAGGCTAAGGCACAAAGAGAATTACTTTATGAAACACAGTGTGTTGTGTTAAAGGGAGCCATGAGGAATTACACATCAGGCCAACTGAGTACCTGCTTAGAGCACCAGCAAAGCAGGGGCCCCAAACCAAATATATATATTTTTAAGTTAATCTTTGATATTTCAGGGAAGTCATTGAAGTTGTCATTATAAGAAAAAAATAACACAGACACTGTGGGACTACACTATAGTTATTTAATGGTTTAGTTTGGTTCATTATTAGACCATAGTGAAACATCTTTGACTGTCGATCTGGTGACACAGTCCTTGACCTTCATTCTCAGTCTCTCAAGTACAGTAACAGTTGGTCCGATAGAGTCTTAAGTGGTTTTGTTTGCTTTTTTTCTGTGACCAATTACTATTCAAGGTGATTTTTTTTTGGTTTGATTTGGCTTGGTTTGTTTTAAGAATAATTAGGGTCTTTTTTATAATTTAGTTCTATGATATATTTTTTAAATTAGTACAGATTTAAGATAAATTATAGTGAGTGGCTTCCCACTGAATATATTAATAATTGGAAAATACCAAAATATTGAAAATTCCGACACGTAATCTCTTTTTAAAATGTAAGAAAAGATAAAAGTGAGAATAATTTGAAATAAGAAAAAGAAACTGTAGTCTAAAAGCAGGTCCCACTGTGACTCCAGTGTTTCCTTAACCTGACGTCCTTATAACTTTCTCATCCTGTATCTTCACAGAAGAAGGGAAAAATATTTTGTAGAAAACGAAACCTAAAGCATTAAAAGGCTTAAAATGACTTAGGATGCATGTCAACCAAATACAACCAAGTGAATCTTATTTGGATCCTGAGTCAAACAGATCACTTAAAAAAATTATGAGACAATCAGGAAATTTGAACATTGACTGGATGTTTGATGAACTGCAAGAATTATTCATTTTTTTAGGAATGATGATGGAACTGTAGTTATGTTATGAAGATGAATTCTTGTCTTATAGAGATATGCACTGAAATATTTATAGATGAGATGATAGGACATCTAGGAATTGCTTCTAACTAGTCCACTGAAGGTGTGAGAATGTGACTGTGTGTATATACGAAACAAGATTGGCCATGAGTTGATCATTGTTGATGCTGAGTGATGTATACATAGGAGTTTGTTATATTCTCTCCACTTTTTTGTATGTTTGAAAATTTTCTATAATAAAATGTAAAAATGTCTTTGCCCAATTATCCCCTCTAAAATATCTTGCTTGAAGATTGCTGTATTTGATAACTAGTGACACTAAATTTTAAAGAATTATTTGGACTCCTTTTTTCATGAAACACCTGTTTATATCCTTTGGCAAGTTTAAGAAATTGAGGTACTCATATTTGTCTTCTTGATTTGTAAAGTTCTCATGTGTTAAACATACTTGCCATCTAAAATATGATTTAGTTTACTCCTGATGCTTTTTGCTGAACAGAAGCTTTAAATTTTTAAATACTAAGAGCCAATAGGTTTCTATATTGTCTTATACCAAAGATTTGGGGTATTTTTATAGGCTTTATTTTTTACAGCAGGTTTAGGTTCACAGCAAAATTAAACAAAGTACAGAGATTTCCCATATACCCCCTGCCCCACACACGCACAGCCTCCGCCTTTTATCATCATCCCCAGTGGAGTGGTGCATTTGTTACAACTGGTGTACCCACATTGACACATCATTATCACCCAGAGTCCGTAGTTTACATTAGGGTCACTCTTAGTGTTGCACATCCTGAGTTTTGATAAATGTATGACAACATGTATTCATTGTAGAATAATTTCACTGTCCTAAATGTCCTCTGCCTGTGCTCTGCCTATCCATCCCGCCAAACGTTTTATTCATATGGAGCAAAACCTACCAATTTTTAATTAGACCAGGACCTATTAAGTACCCTTTAGAGGCTGTAAGCAATACCCATCATAAAGATATAATATCTTTTTTAAACCCCCCCTTGTTTTTACATTTTGTCATATTTGTTTCCTCCCCTCCTCTCTCTCTCCCTCTCTCTCTCTCTCTCTCTCTCTCTCTCTGCGTCTCTCCTCCCCACACCTTACCCCACTGAACCACTTGAGAGTAGGTTGCGTACATCATGCCATTAAGAACAGGCAGATTGTCTTATATGACCACATACTACAGTATAGCCTATAAATTCAGGAAATTTAACATTTTCACAATACTTTAAGCTACAACCCATATTCTAGTTCTGTCAGTTGTCCCAATAATGTCTTGTTAGCAATTTTTGGTACAGAATCCAATCAAAATCACATATTGTATTTAACCATGCCTCTCTTTGCTTTTTATTCTGAAATAGTTTTCTTAACCTTTCTTCGTCTTTCATAATATTGACATTTTTTAATATTATGTGCCAGTTATTTTATTGAATTTCCCTTCCTTTGGGTTTGTCTGAAGTTTCTTCATGCTTAGGATTCAGGTTATACATTTTTGCGTGATGCTGTGTTCTTTTGTGGTATATTCAGAAGCATATTATGTCTATTTGTCTCTTATTGGAGATGTTAATTGATCATGTGGTTAAGGTTTTGTCCATTTTCTGTGTAGTTACTATTCTTCCCTTTGTAAGTAATAAATCATTTATGGGGAGATATTTTGAGACTCGCCTGTTTTGCATTAAACTCTTCCCCTCTATACAGAACATCTAATCATGATTCTTGAGTCAACGTTTTACTACTGTGCTTGAAAATCTATCATAATTAAGAAACATTTAAGGAGTTCTCTTATATGCTAGGCAGTTCTAAGAATTCGGCAGTAACCTTACACGGCAGGTACTATTATTATTCCCATTTTACAGATAAGGCAACTGAGGTATGACAAGGTTATCGGCCCAAGGTCACCCAGCAAGTAAGTTTAGGTAGGATTTGAACGTGGCTATCTGGCTCCAGAGCATGTGCTATTTGTTATCCACGAAATAAAGCCGCCTATTCATCTTTTACTGTATGAATTGTGTCTTTGCATGTATGTTTAGTAAGACCTTCTCTTCCTGGGATAAGATATTCACTAATATTTTTTCCCGTGCTTTGATGGTCTTATTTCTGTACGTGCATGAGATGTTCATTTGGCAGCTGAACATTCAGACTTAGAACCTGAGAGGGAAGTCAGGTCACGAATAGGTTGAGGAGTCGTCACCTCTGGTCTTTTTGGAGTAAAGTTTGTCTGTGTTTTGTGCTTTGTCCGTGTTCTTGGCCAATAGGTCAATCCTGGAGCCACTTCTAGAGCGCAGGGCCTCGTCCGGTGCCAGGGTTGAAGATCTGCCCCTCAGAGAGGACAGTGAGAACCGGATCAGCAAGTTCAAGAGAAAAGAATGGAACCTGAGCAAGTCCCAGGTCATTGCAGAGAAACCGCAAGAACCGGATCTGATGGTAAAAAAATAAAAGAGAGAGAGAGAGAAAAAAAATGAAATCACCAGAGGTTTTCCAGTGCATTCCCAGGCGTACCACCATTCACTTCCCAGCTCTGAGTCACCAGATAGAAGCCTGCCCGCGGCTTTCTTAGGACCCAGCCGCCTGTGGTAGTGTCAGATCTCAAACTGTGCTAAGAAAAGCACATACAGTGAACCTGAGTCTCTACATCAATAATGGCACAAGATCTTGTACCCACAATGTAAACAATGTGGGTTGACGTTTGGAGTTGTGGTTCTCACCACCATGTTCCATGAGTCACTCCAAATATTGTCATTTCTCTCCTTTTAACTTAAAAAAAAAAAAAGAAAGGTACTCTTTTGTTCCATAGCCACATCAAGTTGTTAAGTGTGGCAAGACCAGCTTTCTCTGAGAATCAGGGTGGCTCATTTTCAACCTAAATGACACAATCCAGCTGTGGTCAAAAATCAAGTCTGCAGACCTCCAGAAAATAATCTGTGGTTCAGGGACTGCCTTTTAGTATCTTTGCCAGGGTGCCCGCCACATAACAATGTGATAGGCTTAAAAATGGCTCCTGGAATTACGCCCTAGGACAAGTTTCTGCTCAGCAGACAAGGTTGTTCAAAGCATTGATGAGCTCAGCTTTCCTCACCATGAGAACGTTTTCCTGTGTTTCCCCCGCCCCCATACTAGAGCCCATCCAGGAAAGGACAAAGGCCAAAGAGTCTCCAGTTGTCGGACAATCGGCTGACACCGTTTCAGGGTTCTTCACCTCCTCCGTCAACACCCTTGAGCCCACCTCCACTCACTCCTAAAGCCACCAGGACCCTAAGTAAGTTTTCCTATATATAAATCCCTTCTAGGGAATGGAGTGTGTTCAGTTCAATTCGGTGGTAGTGAGTATAATGCAGTTAGACTAGAGTTTGGCAAGGATTCCTCAGGTTTGCCAAGACTCATTCAACTTTTCTCCATAGTGATCCAAAGGATCTCCCTGCCCCTTGTCCAGTTATGAAGGGATAAATGAGGTAGATCTGTACGAGGACCAGACAGAATGCAAGTACCTTATGAACTATTGAGTACATAGCCCTGTACCTTATGTAGAGAGGAGTCCAAAATAAGGACAAGAAGTAGACCCACTCCATAAACGACTCTCAGTCAGGCTCGGAGAACAGCTGTGCATACTGCCTGAGAAGAATTACAGGGTACTCTTAGTACAAAGGAATACTGGAGGGTGAAGTCGTCGTTCCAAATGGAAGACAAAAGTCAACCAAGTGTTAGAGATAATCAGGTAAGTTTTTCAAGAGGAAGCAGTGCACCCTTTAAAGGATAACACTAAGACAGTTCAGTTAAATTTAATCCATGTTTATTGATCACCTACTATGTGACTGACATTGTTTTCTAAGCATTTGGGATACATATATCAGAGAATAGAGTAATAATACCCTAAGTCCTAGAAAATGTTCACATCTTCAGCTTAATAGTAAAAACCCTGAACAGAATGGAATTTTTACTTCAGAACGTCTTGTAAATCCTTCTGGTGAATGAAGGGTGCTACTTTTTACACAAGAGGTAAGGGGTCTTTGTCATTCTATCCACAGAAACCGTAGAATATGAGCTTAGCAATTTGACCAGGTTGGTTCAGGTGTTACCATGGCAAGCAGAAGTTCCTTGAGATGCTCTGATGAATTCTTCTCTCTGCTTTCATCCACTTTGTATCATTTCTAGGCTCCCCGTCGTTGCAGACAGACGGGCTGATGAGTGCTACTGTGCCACCTCCCCCTCCCCCCAAAAGCAAGCCCTACGAGAGCAGCCAGAGGAACTCCACGGAGGTAGGGGGACCGCGGCTGACACACTGGGGCCAGAGAACACCTCTCGGGGGAATGAAGCTTTGGATTTTTCAAGCTTTTCAATAGGCAGCTTTTCCCGTAGATTTGTCACTCTAAGTAATTCTTGGTTTATTCCTGAAACCATAAAAGATAGGGCAGTTTTTGATGGGAAGGAACAATAGGCAAGTAGGCCTTTGCATCACTTTGAAGGTCAATCTTTTCTCTGTACCTCACCCTCGGGACAGGTGGGCGAAATAAGAAGTGAGCTCTGGTAAAGAGTTTACTTCTTCTGAGTGAGTGGCAGCTCTTCTGGAATGGCCTCTGAGGGGTTTCCTTTCGTCATACCACAAATACTTATTGAATGCCCGCTTTATGTGTGCCAAGTACCCAAGTGTTGGGGATGGAGCAGTGTTGGTGTATATCGGATTCACTCAAGGCGAGCAAGGGAGGATAAATAAGTCTTATTTTCTTTTCATAGCAAAGGCTATGTGGATCAACTCAGATCAGTTAGAAGCTAAAGCAGGGTGTTGGAAATACGGAGGAGAAGGCAGAATAGGAAAGAAAGCTAAGACTCATGTCTCCTTTCGTGTGTCTGCTCCCTCAGATTGCTCCCCCGCTGCCTGTGCGAAGAGAAGCCAAAGTCCCACCCCCACCACCTCCCAAAGCTCGGAAATCTGGCGTCCTTTCTTCTGAGCCTGGATCCCAATAAGGATCTTGTTCTCCCTCTGAAACTCAAAGCACCTTGGACAACTGATGCCA